TGTCATACTGACATTTTTAGTCATTATACTGTGATTTTTATATAAGAATCAAATACAAACCAAATACGAAACAATCAATTTTATCCGACCTAGACCCGAACATGCATCGTCGCAGGGCTCCTAACTTTGAAAGGAATTCCAAATAATAAGAAAAGAATTCAGACAAGAACGAGAAGACAATAGCCATTTCATTAGCTTTAAGCTTTTACAGAGGAAGAGTTCAGGAGGAAGATGTTGGAAAAATGTGTTAAAAATTGCATTAAATGGTCATTTTGGGGCAATTATTTGAGTGGGGTCCACTTCCGATTTAGGTCGGGTCAAAGTGGTTTCGGATTGTCCTTGTTAAGGGCTACAATTCGATATATGGTACGCTCAAAACGGATAACGAGTGAATGAGAAATTGATTCTCGAAGTTCGCTCGTTAAAATGGAAAAACTGGGAAAATGATGAGTTTCTAGTGTGTTTTATCCCACACCGAAAAACTCAAGGGATTTTCACCCCCTTATAAAGGGAAGCCTCTTTTAAGGAGTTAAGATTCCTAAAGGGAAAGGCTCTCTCTTACGCGCAGGGGGGTGCCGATCAAATCCCGAAACGGAGAAGAAAAACTGCGACTCGTGTGCGCTGGCGACCTGCGGACACGAATGCCGTCCAAAAATCTATCTCTCAAGAGATACGGTTAATTTTTGTTTTCTTCCCGAAACGTTTATTTTTTCCCAGAAGTGCTCCGGACAGAAACCCTCCAAGGGGGTTCTGTTGGCTTCGGACAGAAACCCTCCAAGGGGGTTCTGCTGGCTTCGAACAGAAACCCTCCAAGGGGTGTTCTGTTGGGGTCTTCTGTCGCGCACTTCTTCCGTTACAACAATTAATGCCCAACGTTCTTCTCTTTTAATGCTGCGTTAAATTGATAGTTTATGGACGATTCAATGCCCAACGGACTGGTCATTGATGTCCAACGTTCATGTCCATTAACACCCCATTTAACACACAACAAATCCTCCTATAAATAGCTGGCAGGTGCTTTGCAACAAAAACACGGTTTTGACAACGCACAACACTTTCCTCACGTTTTCTTGAGCTAAAAATTCTTCCAGCTACTCCCAAAATTCCTTCTGTGTTCATACTTGGTTCTCGTTCGCTGGAACTCTTGTTTGTGTGCTCAAACATTAGTTCGTAGTCATCGTATCCTGGGAAACGATTGTTGCAACGCTCCTAGCACCGTGGGAGGCAACAAATACGTTTTAAGGATATCGTGCCTAGCACGAGCTTTGGCTAATTCTGCTTCATCTCCTTTCTTGTTTTTCTCTAGTCATTTTATTTAATTAATTTTCTTTATTTTCCGAAACACACCCAACAGAAGATTAATTATGCCCCGTTCTATTCATTACATTCAGCTATTTAAAAGCAAAAAATACAACTAAATCAGTTTAACAGCTAACTAATTCGTTAGTCAACTAACTGCCATATCACAGTTGCTGACTTGTAGTCATGGACTCGGGCCGGGCCTTAGCCCGGTCGGGCCGCCGGTTTGTATCACATGGGCCCGGGACCGGCCCGAGGGTTGGACGGGTCCGGTTCGGGTCGGGCCACCCGCCGAGCCGGACCGGGCCGGTTAAAGATTTTTTTTGTTTTTATAATTTATATTTTATACTTTATAGTTTTATACAAGTATTAAAAACAAATTTCAAGTGCATTTATTTGAAAGGAAATAGGAACTACATTTGAAAATTAAATAGGAACTACAATTGAGAATTGAAGGTAAAATTAAAACATGAAATACTAATCAATCATTCAATCGGAATCTCCGGCATAGATAGAGCCACCCTCGGTTATAGATTCATCCATAAAGTGTTGGGATGGGGTGATGTCAATTTCTTGAGCTCTACGGGCTGCTTTCAACCAATCGTGGTAGCATATAAGCATCTCAAGAGATTCTGCGCTCAACCTCGTTCTAGTTTGCGTTAGGACATTGCCGGCCGAACTAAATTCTTGTTCCACGGCAACCGTTGAAACCGGCATTGATAGCACTTGCTTAGCCATCTTTGCTAAACCGGGAACATTCTTTCTTTTCCCTTCCACCAGTTTAGTACGTCAAAATCATCTTCTTCAAAATCAACATCATATGTTAAATACAAAGAAATCTCATTAATTGTGTTTTGTTGCGTAGCGGGAGTCGATTTCATTTTTTAATAAGATTGGCAAATGTAGATTTGAAAATTGATTTTCCTTTAGATGATGTTTGTGTCGGGGGAGGGGGCGCATTGCCATATTGTGCATGAAACTCATTGAATAATGCATAAAATATAGGAAAAATTGAAAATAATAATCCCAACTATTGCCGGTCCGCTAACAATAATCCCAACTATTGATTATTTTTGTATAATCCCAACTATATGGATCGTCCGCCAATAACGGTCCATGACCAAATATTACCTTCTATAAAAGTGAATTTTAAATAGAAATTAAACTTAAAAATTAAAAGTTAGGGATAATTTATAGGGATTACTTGTTATATCTCTTCTCGTCCACTTTAGAAAGTACATAAACTTATTTACAGGGACTATTATTGGCGGAAGGTCCCTAAAGTTGGGATTATTCTGAAATAATCGATAGTTGGGTTTATTATAAGCGGACCGCCAATAGTTGAGATTATTATAATCAAATTTTCCTAAAATATATCACTAACCTCGTTGTATTCTTTTTTCGGATCAATTGGGTTGTCCTCATACATTGGCAATGGACAAAAAAACAGCATAATAATAATGCAAACATTCTTCTAAAGAACCAAGTCTAAAATGAGGATCGAGAACAAATGCAATACCATAAATATGCGGAATATGTGAATAATATTTTAAAAACTTTTCCTTTATAAAACTAGCAAAATAACTCACATAATCAGCATTCTCAAAATTTGAAAAAGCACCGGCGAGATTAACAGCTTCACGAATAAATTGGTTTGAGGTAGGTTTATAAACATGACTAAAAGTTTCAGTTGCATTATTAAAATATATCAAAGCATTACAAATTTTTTCACATGTGTCGATCTCAGCCGAGTTTATAATATAGTTATCATATTGTTTCATAAAAGCAGGAAAATGTTGTTTATATCTAAAAAGAACTCCAATTAACTTATAGGTACTATTCCAACGAATAGACAAATCTTTAGGAAAAGCCACATATCTCTCACCTCTTTCTATCAAATAATCATGTCATTTTTTCCTAAGTTGTCCATTACCCCAAATACGTCTAATCCCTCCCTTGACTACCTCCAACGATGCTCCCAACGCTTTTAGATCATCTTGCACACATAAATTTAGAACATGACATGCACATCGTTGATGAAAAAATCTACCCATCAAAGAAGTAGAACCACACAATTCACGCAATCTAGGAATAGCAGCAGTATTATTAGTAGCATTATCAAAACCAATATCAAACACCTTATCAATTAAATTATACTCAATTAAAATACGCTCAATCAAAATATAAATATGTTCAGCGGTGTGACGATCATTGAATTCACGGAAAGAAAGAACACTGATGGAGTATATGGGTCTAGGCCCCAGGACCCACATACTCAGAAGAACAGAAGGTACCATGATCACTGGGTGACCTCGTCGGCCATGCCCTCATCGGCCAGGAAAAGATCTATCCAGAATGTGATCCAGAAGCCCGGAGAACCGGGTGCCCTCATCGGCCATGCTCTCATCGGCCATGCCCTCATCGGCCAGGAAAAGGTCTACTCAGAATATGATCCAGAAGCCCGGAGAATCGGGTGCCCTCATCGGCCATGCTCTCATCGGCCATGCCCCCATCGGCCAGAAAGAAGATCTACTCAGAATATGATCCAGAAGCCCGGAGAACCGGGTGCCCTCATCGGCCATGCTCTCATCGGCCAGAAAGAAGACCACCCAGAATATGATCCAGAAGCCCGGAGAACCGGGTGACCTCGTCGGCCAGAAAGAAGATCTACTCAGAATATGATCCAGAAGCCCGGAGAACCGGGTGCCCTCATCGGCCATGCTCTCATCGGCCAGAAAGAAGACCACCCAGAATATGATCCAGAAGCCCGGAGAACCGGATGACCTCGTCGGCCATGCTCTCATCGGCCATGCCCTCATCGGCCGGGAAAAGATCTATCCAGAATGTGATCCAGAAGCCCGGAGAACCGGGTGCCCTCATCGGCCATGCTCTCATCGGCCATGCCCCCATCGGCCAGAAAGAAGATCTACTCAGAATATGATCCAGAAGCCCGGAGAACCGGGTGCCCTCATCGGCCATGCTCTCATCGGCCATGCCCTCATCGGCCAGAAAGAAGACCACCCAGAATATGATCCAGAAGCCCGGAGAACCGGGTGACCTCGTCGGCCATGCCCTCATCGGTCATGCCCTCGTCATCCACAGATAGCCTCTAGAACAGGATTTTATACTTATCATTTCTATACACTTTGTATCCGGCCCATTAGTGGCCCTGTTGTAAATGGGCCTCCCAAGCCCAAGACTTGGGAGCCCAGCCCTAATTTTCTCTATAAATACTCCCCTTGGGCGTAGTTGTAAGGGTGACAAAATCATTCTATTGAAGCATATTATTGCACTTCTCTCTCTAGCTCTCACTTCTCTCTAGACAATTACTCTATCAAACACGTTTATGCATATGCCAATCATTATCAATATAATGTACAGTCAAACCCAAATAATGTAAATTATGATAAGTATCCTCCCATATGTCAGAACATACAGTAACACGTCCATCAAAGTTTGCAAAATAATTTTGTAACCTTACCTTTTCCGCACCATAAAGCCTTGAAATTTCTTTCTTAACCGTTTTGAGACTATAACCTCTATATTGCGGATTTAAACAAGTTTGTGCATAATCACGAAAAGCAAGACTTTCAGAAAACAAATAAGGCAAATTTTCTTCAACAAGTAAGTTAGCCATACGAGTCAAATTTTGTGCATCATTGTATGAGAAATTATCAAAAGCTTGTTGGTTATTTGCAAACCTCGATATTTGAGTTTGCTTCCCCGTTCCGCCGCCTAATTTTGCATACTCCACCGGGTGTTTGGACTTAAGATGTCTTGTGGCGGATCTGTATCCGCCGGAAATCCGCAAGCTATAGTTTTTCTTGCACCAATTACAAGTTGCGGTCCAATTCCGGTGTTCGGGTCCTTCCACTTAGAAAAATTATTAGTCATTAGTTCAGATTTACTTTTTTTCGTACCTGTTTGGGATGAGGCAGGCAGGTCGGCGTCATGGCTGCCGCCACCCTCCTCCTCCTCGTCGTGGCTCTCCGGAATTACTTCCTCCACATCATCGTCCTCGTCCTCGTCCTCGAGCTCTACTTCGTCAATGGTCCTCAGTTGGTCTTGAAAAAAGCGGGAATTATGTCGATGCAATTCTTGTTCTAGTTGTTCGTCGGTCATCGCATCCCCATCCCTCCTTGCGTAACCCGTATCAAAATCATCTCGACTTTGAGATGAAGAGCCGATATGTGATTTACCTTTGCGGGATCTCTTCCTCGCAAGCTCTTTCGTTCGGTTGCGCTCGAGGTTACCCATATCAACCGAATATCTAGGACGATCCATCTAAAAAATGTAGCGATTAATAAAAAATTGTAAAAAAGTAATTAACTATTAATCTAACTATTAATTCGAGTTATAGCAAATTAGTATTTTAAAGTTTACTTTAATCAAATTAACTAGTGAATTAACTAGTTTTGTGTACAACCTATTTTTTTACTAACAATGAAATTAATACACTTTAACTTTAACTATAATTAGAATTACAACTAGTTTTTTAAACTAGAGTCAAATGTAGCAATTAATAAAAAATTGTAATAAAGTAATTAACTATTAATGTAACTATTAATTCGAGTTATAGCAAATTAGTATTTTAAAGTTTACTTTAATCAAATTAACTAGTTTTGTGTACAACCTATTTTTTTACTAACAATGAAATTAATACACTTTAACTTTAACTATAATTAGAATTACAACTAGTTTTTTAAACTAGAGTCAAATGTAGCAATTAATAAAAAATTGTAATAAAGTAATTAACTATTAATCTAACTATTAATTCGAGTTATAGCAAATTAGTATTTTAAAGTTTACTTTAATCAAATTAACTAGTGAATTAACTAGTTTTGTGTACAATCTATTTTTTTTTACTAACAATGAAATTAATACACTTTAACTTTAACTATAATTAGAATTACACCTAGTTTTTTAAACTAGAGTCAAATGTAGCAATTAATAAAAAATTGTAATAAAGTAATTAACTATTAATCTAACTATTAATTTGAGTTATAGCAAATTAGTATTTTAAAGTTTACATTAATCAAATTAACTAGTGAATTAACTAGTTTTGTGTACAACCTATTTTTTTACTAACAATGAAATTAATACACTTTAACTTTAACTATAATTAGAATTACAACTAGTTTTTTAAACCAGAGTCAAATGTAGCAATTAATAAAAAAATGTAAGAAAGTAATTAACTATTAATCTAACTATTAATTCGAGTTATAGCAAATTAGTATTTTAACTTTAACTATAATTAGAATCACAACTAGTTTTTTGTACAACCTATTTTTTTACTAACAATCAAATTATTATAGTTTAACTTTAACTATTATGAGAATTAACTAGTTTTTTTCCAAGTAACGTTAATACAAAATTAAACAAGTGTAAATAATAGAATAATTTCGTACCTCTTTCGGACTTTCGGTCTTTCGGATGGGAGTAATAGAATGACTTCAAATTAATTAGATATAATTCCAACTATATTAATAGATATAATAAATGTATAAGTAATATATAATTAGATAACAAATATAAGTAATATAATATTATAATGTATGTATTTATAAATTATAAGTAGATAATTAATATAAAGTAGATATATAAATAATAAATATAATATATTGGAGAATAAGAGAATTAGAGAGTAGAGAGTTAAGAATAGGATTTAGGAAGAATTGGAGAAGAGATATGAAAAAATGTTTAAGATTAGGAGTATTTATAGGTTTTTTTACCCCCCCCCCCACCTCCCAAACCCCCCAGACCCCCCCTGCACCCCACCCAACGGCTATATAGTCGTTTGGGTTGTCCCCAGCCCACCCCCAAGGCCATAAAGGCTAGTTTGGGCAAAACAAAAAAAAAAAATTAAAAATGGACCGTTGGACCCGGACCCGGGCCCGACCTGGCCGGGTCGGGTCAACTTTTTCCGGAACCGAGCCCGCCCCGCCCATCCCCACCGGTTCGGGTCTACACCCGGTCCCGGACCGCCAGACCGGGCCGGTCCCGGGCCCGCACAGTAGCGGGCCGGGCCGGGTCACGGGCCGATTGGCCCGAACCGAATCCACCCCTACTGACTTGGTACACGTCTAAATGTCTAATACAATCCACTCCCCTTAAACTGAAGCTTGTCCTCAAGCCAAGAATTCAACCCAAAGGAAAATCAGGATATTTCTTAACAAACTCTTCCTATAATTCCCAAGTTGCATCTTTTGAAGTACCATTGGATCACTACACAAGCTAATAAACCGCTGCACTGTTTCCTCTTTTTGCAATCTTCCTCTCCAGAATTGTACTACCACCGTAACAGATATATCTTCCTATTTGAAAAGTAGGTGGGATTAAAAATAGTTAAAGAAGATATAAATTATTGAGGGTATGATGCGAAGATAATGAAATAGTGTGTTGGAATGAATGATAAATCCAAAAAAAAATAGTTGTAATAGTGTATTATTTTTAAAATTATTGAGAATATGATAGGAAGATTTAGAAATGGAAAGATATAAATGAGGAAGTAGTAGGTTCAACCCTCAATTGTAGTGAGTCATCTATAATAGGAACAGAACTGGTGAGACGTATGGGTCCATGATGTCTTTTTAACCGTGAACTATGGAATACATGATGTATCTTAGCGTGTTCAGGCAAATCCAATCTATAAGCCACATTTCCCACCCTACTAGTGACTTCAAAGGGTCCGAAGTATTTGGAAGCTAGCTACGGGTTAGCCACTTAGCCCTATATGTTACCAATTGTTGTCTATAGGACTGAAGTTTGACATAAATCCAATTCCCAACATCATACTCCTTATCCATTCTATGTTTATCTGTCTGACACTTCATCCGGTCTTAGTGATGGACCGGTTCCGGTCTGCCCAGCCCGGGAACCAGACCGGCCCAGCCTGGTTGCCCAGACTCGGGCCTAGGCCCCGACCCGGGGGTTGGGGTCGGGCTCGGGCCTAGGGCTTTTTTTTTCAAACTCTTTGGGTGGTAGGCAGGTTGGACTGGGTGTTTTGGAGGGGTTTGGGGTGGGGGTAGGAATTAATTAGAAAAGCAAAAAAAAACGCTACACGGCCCGGCCCTGTCCCGGTAGAATCCCGGGCGGTTTCGGGCCTTGACCATCAATAAAAAAGCCCGATTTGGACCGGCCTGGCCTGGAACCGGTCCATGCCTACCCGGTCTTGTGCTCTCTTTAGATGGAATTTAAGCATGTGGATACACTCTTTTCTAGCTTTCAAGTCTCTATCCACAGCTTCTACTGTAATGTCACCACTAACATAAGGTATATGCACAACATGGGATTGACCATCAATTACCTCATATGGACTCCTTCCAATAGCTAAATGGTAGCTAGTATTATACTATTATACCACCATTCGTCCAATGGAATCCAGTTGGCCCATTCTTTTGGTTTTTCACGTGTCATACACCTAAGATATGTGTCCAAACATTTATTTACCACCTCAGTCTGCCAACCTGTTTGCGGGTGGTAAGCAGTGGGCATAAGTAGATCAACTTGTTGCAGCTTAAAGAGTTCTTACCAAAACTTACTTTAAAATATCTTAACTATGTCACTCGCAATAGTTTTAGGCAGGCCATGTAGCTTATAAATGTGATCAAAGTAGACCTTAGCCACAGTTGTAGCGTTCAAAAGATGAGTTAACAGCAAAAAAATGTGCATATTTACAACTAAATCAGTTTAACAGCTAATTGATTCGTTAGTCAACTAACTGCCTAATAACAGGTGCTGACTGCTGACTAGGCAGTTGGCACAAGTCTGTTACACAGACAAGCCCATGTCCGCAACCAACAAATCTAGCCATGGACGGTCCGATTCCAAGCCATGACCAAATCTTTCCAACCAAAACTTCAATCCAAATCTGGAAGCACAGACATCCTAATACCAGTTTGTGCAAAACCGCCCTGAACCAGTTCATTTCAATCTCAATTTTTTTGAAAGTTCGATTCTTTTATAAAGAACCACAACAAAACTGGACCCAAAACCCGAGGGAGAACCAAAGCCAGAACAATTGTCAAAAATCATGGAATTGTGGACAAAAAGACAGAAGCAACTCAACAGAAGGAAATAAAGTTACAACTTATTACTTCAATGTCCGTAAATGAGGGATCCATCTACAAAAACAAGCACATTGAGGAGGCACACCCATGGATAGAAGTGTGGATGGGTTTCTTTGTTTCTATTTTTCTTTTAAACCATAATTCATATCCATGGACAGACAGCCACATTAATCTCAACAACTAGTACCCCACACTCCCACGCCCTAGGCTACTACATGAATTGAGAAAACTATGGTACATTTTGCCATCAAATGATGGGAATATATAAGGGAATAAAATGAAAGAATCGGTTCTGGAGTTGCATACCGAGAACATTTGCAATCTATATCCGCACCAGAGACCAGTGAGCTGTCCCGAACTTGTCAGCACAGGAGCTGGAGAAAAATATACGAAATACGAACAGAACCACTTGGCGCAGTACTCAACCAGATTTGAATGCTTGTGCTGTGGGAGTTGGTCCTACAGCCTTCATGACTAGTTCTATCCATCATCAGTGCATGTACTTCACACGCTGACAACATACTTGTACTATGTACAACGTGATTATGCTAAACAACTTGATTATACTGAACTCCCAGCAGCTTCAGAAGCATTTTGCCGCATCATCTCCATTACAGCAGCCCGGCGCCTTGATTCAGCTTGCTGTTGCAGCCTCCTTAGATGTTCTCGCAAATCCCTGTTGGGTGTTTATATGTTTGAAAAGTTAATGTTCAGACAGGGATAATGACAAATGTTTAAAAAAAGAAAAAAAAAAAGGGAAGAATGGAATCTGGGTTTGTGAGGGACGTGATTAGACAACAACCTGCACCGTGGGACAGCGCAATCTGCATCTTTGCATGCCCGTGCATGAAGTTGAAGAAGATACCACATCTTCTTGCAGAGACCACAGCCTGCAGAAGCACGCTTTTTGCATAGCATCGCATGCCGGAAGAGACCCTTAACCTTGCGACAGTTGGGATACTGACACTGCCCAGAACGACACCGAGAAGCATGCACTAGAAGATCAAGCATTTTCCTAAGCTGCAGAGTCAAAATGAAAAACAAAAAAAATCAGACCTTGCATGTCAAGGAGACAACTGGACAACATGCATGCAGCTCACAGTTAATAACAATTAACAGATAAACAAGTTAGCAAAAGGAACCATAGTTGAACCAGAATTTGAAAATATCATTATGAGTTTGAAACATAGTCAGTAATATACCTGAAGAACACGTTGCTGCCGAGCTTCCTTATTT